TGTGTGTGTGTGTGTATGTATGTGTTCTTATACTTGTGAGGACCATTTTAAGCCGAGACTCTACAGAGTGAGGACAATTTTTGGAAAGTGAGGACATCACTTCACGTCACCTCACTTATTCATTGGGCTGTTTGAGGGTTAAGACTTGGTTTAGGGTTATGGTTAGAATAAGGTTTATGTTAGGATAAAGGGTTATGGAAAATAGTATGTCAGTATGACACTTGTGAGTGTCCTCACCAAGATAGAAGTACAAATGTGTGTGTGTGTGTGTGTGTATGGGGGGGCATGTCTATCATTGTGGGGACATTTTGTCTGGTCCTCAAAAATTTAAATTTCTTTTTGAGGGTTAAGACTTGGTTTTAGGGTGAGGGTTAGAATTTAGTTTAGGTTAGGGTTAGGGTTTCACATTTAGTTGTCATTAGGATTGGGAATGCATAATGCCAACGAGTGTCCTCACAACTATAGAGAGCCATGCATGTGAGTGTGTGTGTGTGTGTGTGTGTGTGTGTGTGCTAAAACTGACAGAGTGAGAGCAGAAGGTGTAGCTGCTGAAGTGAGGACGTACAAAATCAACTTGTACACAACGAGGGCACGCCCCTTGAGTAATGAGATTTGGCTTTGGGGGGTGAGGGGGTTGTGAATTGTGTGTGTGTGTGTGTGTGTGTGTTTTAGAATTGTCAGACTGTGCTGCCCTGTGTAAAAGCGTAAAGCTGTAAAACACCTCATGTCATCATGATGATGTGTGTGATATTTATATTTCCCTTATCATCATGTGGCATATCAAAGACACATTTTAGATTTTGAAGCTTGTGAGTTTGACACAGTGTTACCAGTCATGTCTCCATTTTAGCACCTGGTGTATGGTTGTTCTTATGACCTTATCTAAGACTGTCATCTGCTGGAATAACAGTGAACTGCAAGTGTGGACTTCGGTTGAAATGAGATCTTAATTGTTTTGATATAGTGCATTAAAACAGCCCATAAAAACCAGTGCACACACATATCAGCTGACCCTCAAAAGATAACTGGGATGGATGGATGACCTAGTCTTCCCCCTATAGTTCTCACAGCAGAGTTCTAAGCTTTGCAGTCTTATTATCATACCTCTTCAAATTAAAGTAGAACAAATAATTCAATGGCTACACTCAAACACTACCATACAAATTGGAAGCTATGTAAACATTTAAATTTGATGTGTATAGGCAAACTAAAATAATGTAAAGTGAAAATATAATGGCCTCTGTGTGAGATGTTTTCTGGAAGCTGCTGAAAGCACCAGCAGCTGATGTCTTATACAAAAGACTTTAATGTAGACTTGATGCATCAAGGAGACCAGAAGGTGGAACAATATACAAACGCTACAGAATAACCAGAGCAATTGTCCCCCCCAAGTCTGAAGATGTCTCCCACAGCATCCTCATATATGTTCCTGACCTTAGGCACTGCTCTGAGAGAAGGGAGTAGCTTTCACAGCAACAACAAAAGAATAAATAACTCTGTTGAAGTGCAATGCTGCACGATGTCTGGGCAGTGTTACATTTCTTTAAACGGGACAATGCAAGAAGTATTTGAAGTAATGAGATGATTGACTTTTGTGTAGTTTCCACTGTTCTACTCTCCGTCTCTGTAGGGCAGTTTGTGTGTTCTCATGTTTTTAAGATATGACCCCTCATGTTTCATCACTTATCACTTAATGAAAACATAAC